ATTGAGTTCAATTGCAAAAGCCCAAAACTTCCTGATCACAGCAGGCATCCTTATTTTAAACTGAATTAACTGGAATCCAAAACTAACATCAAGTAACTGCAAAAACATGCAACTGCAAAATTCCTAAACGACATAAATAAAACAAAAATATAAATGTAATAAAATGACCATAAGGTGGATTTGAGCTTCATCTGAGAAAGATGTTTTAATTCCAAGAACAGGACACTCCTAAAGCTCTAGATCTACACCTGCTGAACGTCACCAGGGTTACCTCACTTCCTACTTACAACCAACTTCCTTAATAATATCAAATGTGCCACTAATAACACAAAATAGACCACAGTGTACGTTTTGTTTCCATATATCGTGTTACTGTGATCTATTTCATCAAAGCTGTAGTTAAAGCTGTCCAAATCTACTTGAGGAAAATCCAGCTCCACGTCGTCAGCACTTCAGGGACGCTGCTGATGGATTCCTGGATCTCCCAAATCCAACTTTCACTTAAGAGTAAAACACTTTTTTCACGTTGTCAAAACGTATTGAAGTCCTCTCCAAGCACACACAACAACGTATTAAGTTACAGAGCCAAACCTGAGAAGAACTAGCTACCAGCGAGCTAACCCTGCTCTATCGGAGAACTTGAAAGGGCAACATATCACTTAGACATCCTAGCCTCACAGAATGAGAAAGGTTCCTTATGTTAATGTTTACATTAACAACATTAAACCAGAGAAGGCAGAAAAACAGCACCGTGGTACCTTAACGTCCCTCTAATTACCGATTGATGTGGACATGATGCAGTTAAGGCCTTCTTAGCGTTAGCTAGCTATCTGACATTCGTTTGTTTCTATATCAAATTCTTTAGTTGCCGTCGAAATGAAAAGACGACTGGTGACGATACTTGCCTGTCGAGGAAATAATAATTAGAAACTGCCCTTTAAGTTGTTACGACTTTAATGACTTGGTGAGTAGTCAGACTACAGAGCTGCACATAGCTAGCCCAGCAACTTAGCTGCTGACAGGCACAACCCCGGTGCACTGAGGGCTGCGACTTCCTATGCAGCGTCTCACTGACAGTTGACACCGCAAGTACAATTAAAAGAACTCGTATATAAGTACAAGTAGAGACAGTTTCACGTATTTGTAACGATGTGGTGTTTCTTTTATGTACTTACGAGGCGTAATGATGCCAGAAAAGAACTGGAATCGTCTCTATTAGCAATGGAGGGAGGAACACACTAGACATGCAAAATGGTGGCTACTCTAGCCTCAGCACATCCACTGCAGGCGGAAGACTACGCTGACAGAGGTTTGGTGAAAGAAGCGGGTAGGCAAGCAGTTGTTGCATATAAGCAAAACTCACTTTTTTCCCCTTATTTTTCAAAAGCAGTATCCCATTATATGTGCAGTTCGCTTTTTTTATTTATTTAATTGATGTAAGTAAAAACAGTATTTGCTTCAAAAAGATTAATTAAAATGTTAAAGCTTTAAAATTTATAAAAGTTCTTTCAGTGTGTGAAGTGACCCTATTAATATTTACTGATATCAAAACCCGCTGCGATGGAAGCGTGTAGGAAAGTGGATGGATGGATGATTTTAAAAACGATATTTCCAATTAAAACTGATATTACAGACCTCCAAAAGTTTTCTTTTAGATAAGCAAAGGTTCAGAAAGATGTACGCATTAGTTCTTTTTTCACAAACATTGTGTATAAAATCTGATATTGTGATTGATAAAGTCTGTTTTCAGTACAGAATAATTGACTTTGGTGCTTCCCTTCTAAGACTAGGTTGTACCTATCTGTTCTAAAATTTATGTGAAAGTGTCCCCTTTTAATCAAATAAAATTCAGTTAATTTTTATAGCGCCAATTCACAAAGCATCTCATCTCAAGGTACCTTTCATTTAGTTAGTTGATCCTTTTCTAATGCAAGGGGTGTGCTAGATGGGGGGCCAGGGGTGGCCATGGTCCCCCTTATCCAATCATTGGCCACCCCTGGGGCCACCCCTACCATTTCTTTCCCTCTAATACAGATGGTCAAGTGGAATATTCAAAACATTTTATTTTTTGTGGGTAATTATACACATCAATATACTAACATTAAAGATGATAAATTCAGAATTTCCTGCTCTTTTCAGAGCTAGTTTTTGTGTTATATGGGGTAAAGAGAAAATGATCCGTCTTTGAAAGTCATCTGGGAGTCTTCAGTGAAATCAAAGATAAATAACAATTTTAATAAAAGCTTATCAAATAATCAATTTATGTAGATATTAGTGCTTGTAAATATCCATTTTATACAGAATGTTTATTGATACAAGTAGGTACGTAATAACAATGGAAAAGATTTTCAACCCAGAACTCAAACCTGAAAGAGTTTTATCCACTCTACCTTTTATTTAGAAATTATGGATGCTTAAATATATGCATCTATTTGTTAGCAAAGGCTGTAGGAAAGTATGGTTTATCTTTATTTAGAAAATATGGAGGTTTTGCTCATTATTTTCCTGTTGGAAGAGTGTAGATTGACCCTGAGGTTCTGGTGCCACCCCTCAGTGTACACTGGCCACCCTTATAAAAATGTTGTGGCTACGCCTCTGTCTAACGCCAAAAATAATATCTTACAGATCTATGAAAGAATAAATAAATCTGTGTTAAATAAATAAATACATACAAAAATAATATCAGAAATACTTTTATTTATCAAATGTTTAAGGTGTTTATTGAGTACTTATATTTAAATGTATTGTACTGTACTGCATTATTGATGGCAACTGATGTGTTTTGATTAAGTGCTATAATGGCATGCCAGAATCAGCGCTCAGCTCAGGCTAAAAGATACAGTGGTTAGCCTGGATCAGAGAAGCCCATCACAATCTGCCTCCGGCCGAGACCCTCTCCTGATATGCCAGTGTTTGCTGGACGCCATGGGTAATAATTCAGTCATATATATTTTTTCCTAGTTCTATCTTGGGACGTGTGTCAGGATCGTGATTCCGAAGACATCCCCTCATTTACTTTTGCTCTGAGCTTGGTCGCTTTCATCGTTGTTGCATTGATATAAAGAGCTAACATTCGGCTTGTTAGCCAGCAGTTTGCTGTCGATATGTTTTTCATTTTTTAATTCAACATCAATTAAGTGTCTTACTTTAACGTTACGTGCATTAATGTTAAGCAATTCGCTTGTTTAATGATGCGATTGGCTTAATTTGTTGAGATGTCATATTTTCCGCTTAACCTTGCGGATGAATACATTTTTTAAAACCTTGTCAGTATCGTGCTGCGGTCAGTTTACTCGTGGCATTTAGTGATGACGACGACATGCGCTTTGATGACATTGGAGTGTAGCGCCATCTGGTGTTGATAGTGAGCTGTCCAGGAAATTGTTATTTGGTCTTCTGTTGCACCAGGTGACTGTTGATAGAGAGTTTGAATCAATTATATGATTTGAGTATTTTTTTTATATAAAACTGTGTTATAAAGAGGTAAACATAAGCTGTTGTGGATTGTTAGTATTTTTTATTGTTTTAACGTTTAAATGTTAATATAACTGCCATGAATGAGAATCTTTACAAATATATTTTTTCTTGGTGTATGATTATTATGGTATGTGATTTGCAGTGACTTTATTCTTTATTTAAAACAAAATCAGTGCCTTAAATGAATGAAGAGCATATTTGGCGCTGGAGTTTTCACATGTCCACACCCAAAAGTACACCTACGCTGTTTGATATGTCAACCCAGAAGTTATCAAATGGTTGAACAAATGGCACTCCCTCTTTGGAATTCTGGAAAATTTGCTCCTTAAAACCAAAAACTTGCTGTTCATGTTTGGGGTTTTGTTTTTGTTTGGAGGAATTGAGAACTAGAAAATACATTTCTGTTACTGTTTTACTGTAACTGATTCACGTTGCTGAAGGTTTTAATTTATAAAAATCCTTGTGTTGGTGGTCTGTGTCCAGGATCTCTCTGGATTTCGCAATTGGTGCTGTTATTTTTATCATCTTTAAAAAAATAAAATAAAATGGCACAGCTGGGCATAATCTAAGAAGACGGACAGAAAGCTGTGACTTTTAAATGTTTGTTTGATATGCTTGAAGTATGTTTAAAGCAATTTAAATGTAGTAGCGGAGTTTCTTAAAATAGATTTAGGCACATGTTCCCATTTCCTGAACGGAATACTGATCCCTGGCTACATATGGAAATCAATTACTACTCTGAAAAATTGTCAATCAAGTCACAGAAATGGGAGGTGGCTGAAAACATACATGCTTGAGAGACTTGATAATGAATGTTGAGAATCACAGTGTTAGTAAACAACATTAAAATTGAATAAAAGACAAATGGTCTTTAAATCCCTCAGGTATGCAACAGTTTGCTGTGTGTAGTTTATGTCCACCAGAGGGCGCTAAGATTGCTTCCTGTATGTCAAACGCCCTAGTCTTCTTTGTAGGAATTATAATTAGCTATTTTTTTTGTATGTGTTGCATGTTTTTCGAGATTATTGGCACATATAATGTTTTTTTTATTCTTATTATTATCCAAAATTGTATATATTGAATCAGCTTTAAAGGCTACAGGATGTAATCTAACGACTTTAGAGCTCAGTTAATTTGGTGTATGGAGGAGACAAAAATTAATTAATCAAAAATGTCTTTGTTTTGATTCCTTCAAAATTTTATTTATTAAGATAGTGCAATGTGAGGTTTGGTCATGTTTACTTTCCAAAAGTAAACCTTCTTCTCATTTTTTAAATTGTAAATACATGTGTAAATACTTTAAATGTTGTATAAATTCTTATTCTTCGTATTTTCGTCATGAATTTATTATTTTATGCGTAATCGAAAATTTAGGAGGCGGTTGAAAAGAATAAACTAAAGGTTTTCTGAACACCTCATTTTACTTCCGCTGTCGTCGAACCCCAGCTCTCGTCCTTACTGACTACAACTCCCACAGTGCATTTCGGCGCGCCTTCAGCTATTTCTCATAGATCAGCTGAGCTCGCGCTTCGCTCCTGCGAGCAGCCAGCGGCTCAGGATCGGAGCAGCTCGGGGCGCTTCGCCGTCCGTCTGTCTGTTGGGTTTGAGCATCATTTTAATAATAATAACAACCGGTTTTTTCCTTTTGAATCTAATAATGAAAGAATGTGACGTCCATTCAAACGCGCCGTGGATTTTTCTTGGTTTCCTCTCCCGTTATAGCGCTAACGTTTCCTCAGACGGAGCTGTGATTTGGAGCCAGTTTCTACTATAATCTGCCCCATCCTCCAGCAGCTCTGTTCGGGGTTCACCTGGGGGAGAGTCCGGGGTTCTGGTAGCGCTCTGACCCTCTTTCTGGGAGGGGGATACTATGTCCAGACGAAAACAGACCAACCCCTTCAAAGTTGACTGTAGGTATCATTAGTATTTTTCCTTTTATTGTTTCAAACGCCTTTTCTCCTCATTGGTGTCCCAGTTTCTCTGCTCCTCTCTGTCTAAAGTATTTCTGTGTGTCATTTTTAATGCCTTTGTTTCTGCTCCTTTGAAGTCACTTTATTCAGATTTATTAGACCAGTTTTTACATTTTTGTTTGTAAGTGATGTTCTAATGTAGCAGAGCTGATGTTTGGCAAACTTTTGGATGTTGTTCTTACTCTGCAGTTCTGTGCTATGATAAATTAAAAACAACCGGGTCAAATGCCATATATGAAATCAAGAGGGGAGAAAAGTGGACTGAATAAACTCAGACACATCAGATTGGTCTAGTGGGTTAGAGCAATGCGCTTGTTCTCTGAGAAGGTTGTAAGTACCCGGTTCGATCCCCACAGCCTGGACTCTGGGTCCCTGAGCAACACCATTCACCCTGATTGCTTCCTGGGTGCTGCACAGTGGCAGCCCACTGCTCCCCAAAGGGATGTGTTGAATGCAGAAAGTAAATTTCCCCATTGTGGGACAATAAAGGGATTTACTTTTACATTTTTTTAATGAGTATCCAGAGAATACATCATTGATAAAATGTGAAAGATGCATGGAAAGTATTTAAATTCCTAGATGATGCATTTTCTACCCAAACAGAGTAGAAGAGGATGTTTTATTTTCATTGGATGGGATGCAAAAAAAGTTTTTTTAGTGCCAGTATTGTCAAATACAGCTAGGGTGTGTTGTTTGATAGTTTGTGTTAATATTTTAGAAAAAAAGGATTGTGCAGTAGTTAGTTTGGTGGGCTGGACATACAAAAATTACGATGGTGAGTAAGGACGTGCTTTTGTCATATCCTTTATTGCCATTGCAATGGAATTCTGTCTAAATGATAAATTACAATAAATGGTATTTAATAACTAGAATAATTGTTCAACTGTCAGAATTTACTTTTCTTTTTTCCATCAGGGAATTGATTAACATAAATTAAATGCAGTTGCTGTGGGATTTTTAGTGATATAAATCACATTTCTCTATGTAACTGGAGTCTTGTGTACAGAAATGTTTTTTTTTTTCAGAGCAGTATATGTGATTGTGGAGCTCTGATCATTTTTCCATTAAGCAGTGTTTTAATTCACACTTTTATAGTACATCAAGATATAAGATTTTAAGTATACATCACCTCAGCCCCAATGGTGAGCATACTTTGATATTTTCTGGCACTGCACAATTTTGTTGGCAAACACTCTTTCAGTAAGCATTACTTTTTTTATCATTGCTTGTACTTTTGGATTCTGTGCTTCAAAATCCCTGATTAGTCATTAAATGCATGCTTAATAGCATAATCTGATCACATGATCTTGTTAAGGTAACTAGTAAATACTCTTTAAGAACAACTTGCATTTACAGCGACACAAACATGGAGAGCAAAACAAGTTTTGTGACGTAGCGTTCCTATGAGGATTTATCCCCAGGTTGCTGTAAAATATTAAAAACGATCTTTACCCAGACGGGCCTCTTCTTTTGTCAGCGCTTTAGTGTAGTCTAGCAGGATTTTTGTTTTTCTCAAACGTTAAAAGAGGGATGGCTACTGTAAAAGCTGATGTTTTGGGTAAAACAAATCTAGAGGACACCTGTTAAGCCTTTTACATTATATCAGGCTACAGGGACTCTGCTCTGATCAAAATCCTCTGATTTGGTTTCAGGTTGCTGGAAAGCAGCACATCCAGCCAAGCTAAACCTCACCTTTGTCTATGTATTACATTTCTACAAAAGGTTTTTGCACACAGCCTCTATGGAGCTCCAGTGCTATAATATATCCAATCTCATTCATCATTGGGATCGGTGTGTGCTGCAAATGACTGCTGTGATGCAGTATTTTAAAGGCTACAAGATCTCTGGTTCTATGCACTGAAACAGTGCTTCCCTTTATCCAGCTGCTTGGAGAAACGTCTACAGTGATTAATGCCCACACCTAGTATAGATCTATTGATCAAGGTCCTAAATCTCAGGCAGAGTGCCAGAGACACTGTGAGCAATAAAGTAATAGTTGAGTCAGGAATATTTGAGCTGAATGAATCTTTCCTCATTACAACGTTAAGAAGTGTTTGCTTTCTAATTATTAGAGTTATATGTAAATCATTAACATAAAGTTTGTAGTGGATAAAGTTAAGTAAATATTTATTGTATCAGAGAAAAGATCATTGGTTTATTGATCTAGTTGTAAATTGTCAAAAAGATTAATGATGCAGAGCTCAACACAGGGATTTGATTGCCTAATATTTCAAGCTAATGCCTAATCAAAGCATTGGGCTTTAATTTTTTTTTATTTATTTTAGACCATATAAGAAAGAAAAATAACGTCTGTCTAAAAAAAAAAAAAAAAAAAGAGTAGCTAAGCAATTGCTAATCCAACTTGAATTGATAGATTACGAAAATAGAAGATCCTTTTTTTTTTTTTTATCGATTAAAGATGTTTTGCGTTGATGTAGCTCTTTGTGTCTCTGGATATCCATGACCTCAATGTGTTGGTCCCGCTGCTGATCTCTTAAAAAAAGTTGCTCCATACTGAAAAAGAAGATGATTGCCTTGGGACGGCACAAAAAGAAAAAAAAAAAACGTTTCTTAACACATTCTGGTTAATTGTTGAAATGCATTTTGCTTTTGCACCTACTGGTAATGCTTAGAAGCATATGAAGCCACATGTTGCCACAGAACATCATAGTGGGAGCTGAGAGGATGGCCAAAGTCATGTTAACACAGAAAGGGGAGCTTTTGTTTTGTTTTTTTTTAGTATATTTAGCCATAATCTCTGTTTTCAGACCTCAGATTCTTTCTTGTGATTTGGCTCTTCGGTCTGTCTGAGCTCTCATTGGCCTGTAGAGAGCTGCCCGTCGCTGAGAGGTTATCACAGACTGTCTGACAGACTAGACAAGCAAGGAAGTAGACAGGCAGGGAGACAGGCAGCCACACACACATACACATTTATACATATATATATTCACACACCCAAACAAAGTTAATTCCACAGAGGGATTCTAAAGGGTTGAACATAATCCAGATAAAATGCAGAGGAATCAATTGTATGAAGACTGATTTTTATTAATTGAAAGCCTGGATTTACAACTTGCTGTTTTTTTGTTTTTCAACCTAGGGCACTTTTATATTCGCAATTTTAGTATTTGAAATTGTCACTAGAATAAAAGGTATATCAATATACAAAATACAATAATCCTACATTTCTGCAATAAATTAAATCGTAGTCGAGAAAAAAAAGAATTGTAATGATGAAATATACATCATCATTATAATAATAATAATAATAATCATGCCTGTAAAATTATTGTGCCTTTTATATGCTTCAACTATCCAGAAAAAAACAAAACAAAACTGCAGAATGTAAGCTGGAGAAACTGTTAACCAACAGGTGCAACAGAACTTCTGCAGTCATGCTACTAGAATGCATGGGAGTGATCTCTGATTATTCATATATAATTCCCTGTTTGTGTTTTTTCTCACGCTGATCGATGACCAGCGCCTTACATTCTGGACCAGCCAGAGTTCTCCTTCATTAGAAGGGTCCTGTTGGTCCATCTTTGCATGGTATTGGGTCAGCAGATGAGAAGCGATCAGATGTCTGGCCCCACCATCCTAGCACCCCTCCTGTCTGTGTGTGGATGGAAGACGTGGCCCCAGCACTTCCTGCGCTTTCAGACAGTGGGGTTGTGTGACTTCATGTGTGTTCTTTTGAGGGGACGGCGGCTGGAAAGTAGAAGGAGGGGCCTTTGAATTTAAAAAAAGAAGAGAAAGACCCCATGGCCTGGTGTTTAAGCAAAGTTTTGGCATTCTGTCTTTTGTCTGTTTTGTCGAGCACGTCGGCACGTCTGACCCCCCCCCACACACACACACTCCCTTTTTCTGTCTCTCTTCTGTGTGTCTGCTGGTTGATGAGTTTGTCTCTTTGTCTGGATTCAGTCAGACACTGCGTCACCTCCTGCCTACAGACACACAGACTCGGAGATAACATCACAGTGGCACGGAGACTGGGGGAGGGAGGGAGGGAGGGAGGGAGGGAGCAGAGACAGATGTACAGACAGAGCTCTGGCAAAGGGGTGGGAGGGGGGGATGGGTATTTCTCACACATCAATCATTGGCTGTGTGCCGAGAAGCCAGCTCGCTGTAGTAGTTCAATACTCAGACCCAGTGTGCCACTGCTAATGAATGCTCAGGCTCGTATGGGAAAAGACTCTAACTGCTTTTATCTAAAGAACAGGTTTGGGTAAACTTCTGCGTTTAAGGACCATGGTTGCTTCTGTCAGTCTCAGGTGAGCGAGACTGATAGCCGCGATTACCTCACACAAAATAAGTTATAAAACCCCCAATTGTCTTAGTCATCTGAGTACAAAAAAAACTCCCAATAACATTTTAGTGAGGCAAGTGTTAGGAGTCAGGTGGATGAGTTTTTAACCAAACCTCAAGACCAGAAGAGCTTCCACAGTGCAGCAATTGGCAAATGTGAGGGAGAACATATGGGTTACCATTACTGAGCTGTATCCTCATGCCCCGCCCCGATGGTATGGATGGATATGGAAGTATGGGCTACATCTAAGCAGAAGACGCAGAGGGTGAGCCAGGCTGTTTGGCATGTGGGCGGTTTGGAGAAACACAGTTTGTAGCTGGATAGGACTAAAGAAGGCTGCTCCTCTTCTGGGACTGCAGCATCGCTGCTGGAGCAGCCAGCATCTATTGGTGCATAAAAACAGGGTTGGGATGTAAATGAACTAAATGTTGCTGCATAAAGAGGAGCGAGCTCAGCACTCCTGGGCTGCATGGTTTGTATCTAAAACCATTTTAAACTGAAAAGAGATTTCTCAACATCCTGAATAAATGAAAACAAAACTGTTAAGAGCATCTTTATTGTTGTTAATCAAACTTTTATTGGTTGCAACATTTTGGTAGACAGAAATAACTGTTGTGAAGTCTGTGTCCTATGTCGCCTTAAAAGCCTTGTTGATTATCAATAGGAGATTATTAAGCAAAGGTAAAGAACCTCCAAAGGTAGTGCAAACATAACAAATATGATTTCTGATAGCTTTTAGTTAAACACTAACATATTTAGATCTAAAAACTAAAACTTCCCTCTAGCAGTCAACCCTGATACACCAAGTCATAGCAATGGGACACCTCAATAGAAACATTTGTCGCTTTCACTATATAGGAAAACGTGGTACAAATGAACAAAATACACAAGCATATAATAATAAATCAAATCCGATAAGTTTTTTTTTTTTTGCTTAAGAAATAGTTTTTAAAGAAAGTAAATATACACCAGTCAGGATCTCTTGGACGACACAGATTCATGATATTCTTTGAGGTCTGATCAGCAGAGTCCAGCTCTTCTAACTTATAAAATGCTACTTATAATGAAGAAAGCAAACATGCTGCAAGTTCTTTAATTAATGCAGCTGAATCTTATGATAAATTAGCAAATTGTGAAGTAGGATCCAGTGAATGTATCATAGCCTGTTTCTTAACCTCTCAAAACCTTTTTATGATGTGTGGGCTTTTTATGACGCGATTTGAGCCAGACCCAGTCGCTGAAATCTCACTTCCGGTCACTTCCTGTCCTCCAGTGACGCATCGAGTAGCTCGATTTTGCGCCTCATAGAGTCCTGCTGTTATTGGTTAAGACCACGTGGGCCATTGGGCTTTGTAGCCAATGAAATAAGGTTTCAACCAAGCCTACAAATGGCGAGGTAATAAAAGGCGTTCCCTTTTTTGTACCGGCTCGCTTAAGCGTGGAATTATTACAAGGAATTATTAGTTATTACAATGCCTAAGGCTAAAAAAAATCAAATACAGCTCAGAAAAGGCACTGGGGCTTCTTTTAGCTTGAAAAGCAGCAGTTTCACTACCTTTTATAGATGTTTATGTTATAGGTGTAAAAATTCTACATTTTGTTAAATACACTGATTCTGAAAAAAAGTGGGAAAAAACTTGCTTCATAAATGTTTTGTGGCCATCAAAATGCTTCAGTGTTATTCTATGGATCAAATAGTAAAGCAAAGCATAGTAAAAGCATTTGGCACAATTTGGCACATTTAGAGATTTTTGGAGATGCTGGTGACACCAAAAATTCAAAGCCCCACAGCTCTGGAGCTGTTGTAGCTAGAGGTCTGAAAATTTCTGCATTTGTGTTGGACATAATACAATGAGACATGCCTATTCTCAAGCATGTCTTTATTACCGCTGTTCAAAAAAGACCCTTCATTTTCCAGAATAAAAAGAACAACTTTGAGTCATATTTGAACTGATCTAACCTGGTCTGTGTTCTACTCACCCATTTTAATTTATAGATTCGGAAACTAGAAGTTTTTAGCTTTCAAATAATGTATTGCACGTGTAGTTTGGGCTTACAGTTCCTAAGTTATTTACTTTTCCATTTGGGTATGCAAAATGGGAGAGAATTTGCCAAAATGAGGTGGCTGTTATGATTGTATTAAAATCCAAAGGAATACTTTACTGAATGGGGAAAATATTTGACCTGAAAAACTGGAGCACCTTTAGATAAATATTTTCCAATATGGGCTTTCCATCTCATACCAGCAACACAGAGAGGGTATGATGATCTCCGTTATCATTATAATAAACATCTTCTTTTGTTCTTTCTGTGAAAGAAATTTATGCTGCCAGCATCTTATAGCTAAGAAACTGGCTTTTACTGCCTTCATCCATCCATCCATCTATTATCTGACACGCTTGTCCCAATTGGGGTCACGAGGGGTGCTAGTGCCCATCTCCAGCTGTCTACGGGCGAGAGGCGGGGTACACCCTGGACAGGTCGCCAGTCCATCGCAGGGCAACTTTTACTTCCTTTCTTTTACACATTTCAATTGTTGATCTAGTTAACTTCTAAATCTGAGTTTTGTGAGTTGTTTTGGTTGCATTAGGTGGTGCATTATTAATATCAATGCAAATCTGGGATTATTGTTTTTTTTTTCTTATTTAAATGTTTTCTTTTTTTAATGGCCTTCTAAAAACTAGAATGAAATAAACCGGCCTTCTCTTGGGTAATTTTGTAAGGAGCACACTTTGTAAAACCTTCAACTTAAAAAGCAAAAAGCTTCCTGTCTGTGCTGCATGTCTGCTCTGTTTCCACTTGCTTGTTGAAGAAACCAATTCTCTCTCTAACTCCTTGGCACCATAAGCTGTATTGAGATTGGTTAAAGCTATATATTAAGTTCAGCTTTCATAAGGTGTAAAAAAATATCAGACATCTCTAAAGAGACTCATTAGTCGAAAATCTAAAATTAGTTGGGGTGTTTTTTTTTGTTTGCTTAAATCGTATATTTGTCCTGTTGTGAATTCTTAGGGCCATTCCACACTTTGGGCTTATCAGGACTCCAGCACACCATTAACATGGATGGCAGGGATGAATTTAGCGAGGATGGCGAATGCTGCAACAACATCTCCCAGGAAGTCCAAGGACAGGATAGCGTCACAGGTACGGGACGGAGGGACCGGATGGACTCTGCAGCAACGTCCTCGGGCTGAGGGGTGTTAGTGAGAATAAGCCCTGCTCTGCTGTCTGTCTGTATTGATAGGGCTGTCTTTGCCTCCATAGAAGAAAGTGATAGCGACCCTGACATCCACGGCGAAGATTCCTCCTCCAACGCATCTGCTGACGACCACATGTCCGCCAACAGAGCACAGTGCCGCCTTCAAGGAGCCGGTGTCAAAGTGGTGAGTTGACTGCATGTTAGATAGCAAAACCCGTTACGTTTATTTATTTGGTGTTTTCCCATATCATAGTGTTAGGAACACATAGAAACTAAACGTGATGGATTCAACAAATGATACGAATCTGCATCCCGGCTCTCTGGATAGCAACAGGAGCCGAATCTGTCATTTTAAACTATATGGCAGAGGTCACTGATTAGCGGACTGCGGTCCGGACCCGGACCCACTTGCTGGCTAATCTGGACCCAAACTGATTTAAAACATTTATAAATTACCGCTTGTTGTCAGATGATGGTGTCTATCCCCAAAATCCCACATCCTCCGTCTCCGCTCCGTCCTGCTGCACAAAGCCTACAGCCTCCACTGTTCCTCCCGTCCTGCTGCGCTCCGACTTCTTCAGAATTTGAGGAGAACATGCGCTATATTATTATTAAATTCAGGAGCAAACATGCGGATGTGAACCCTTCATTTAATTTTTTTTGGTGGATTTTTCTATAAGGGATAACCAGGATCATCCATGGTTTGTATGAACTATGTTTGTTTTCTGCTTCCAAACTCAGCATCTCTTCATCCATTCCTGAGATGAGAAGTTTCTTTTGAAGTGGTGAGAGGCGCTCTTGGGCCTTTTGACTGGATTTGATTAAACTTTTAAGCCTCTCAGTATAAATAATTGTTTTGATCGAGATAGGAAATCTGCTTCCTGGTATGTTGAGGTACCAAGAGTTTGCATCCAGTCATTTAAACCAACGGTCTTAGTTTTTGGGAATATATAGGCACACAAATAAGCCTGGAATGGCTTGGTCTCCATTCAAACCCAGGTTTAAAGCCTAGCAGGGCAGCATAAAGCCCATTGCTCTCATTAAGCCATTAAAAAAAAGAAAAAATAACAAATGGTCAGTTCAGATGTTTTATAAAATATGTGAATTAGGAAATTGTCTGAATACCAAACTGAACGATTGTTGTTCTCTCCTTAAAAAAAAACATTTTAGATTTTAAAATGGAAAAATCTTCTATTTTTTTTTATTTTTTTTTATTTAAAAACTCAATGTATTAAATGGATGCATAAAAACCTAATTTTATTTCAGTGTTAAATTATGTTTAAAGTAACAGATTATAATTAAAAATGTCCAGACCTTTACTGGTTGATGATTTTCTTAATTCGGACCCCGCTGATTTTTTTTATTGGTTACCCCTGCTATATGGTATAAAACCACAGCTGTAGGGTCTATGAAAGTGATCAATTTAGCAGCTCAAGTTTTTGTTTGATGCAATAATTGTACCTGTTTAGGATTCTTTCCTATACAGACCTCAACAGATGCATTTTCACCACTAGTAAAGATGTTTAATCCTTTAGAAGCAGTCATTTAGTCCAATAGCATACGCTGGCTGTTAAATCGTTTAAAAACCTTTAATTTTTAGGATTTTTATTAAAAGGGAAAAAAAAAAAACTTGTGCAAACATGTAAAACAGCACAGAGAGTTTGATCTTTGACCATCTCTCCTTATCGTCCACTCTTGGGTTCCCTGTTGTTTCTTCTCTTCAAGTAACTCCACTGAATTCATGCAGTCATAATATTATTGACAAATCTTGTGATGGTAGTATCCTTTCTGTAAATTTCTATTTTCTCCCGTCGCTCCCCTGTTTTTAATAAGTTATACCAGTGCCTCTGTAAATATTTAGCAGCTAGGTAACATTCATCTGTGTCAGTATGACCATCTACTGCAGGGAGGCTCCATCCAACAGGCTGCAATTTGCAGTGTCCTAGATGGTGTGAACCCATTACAATAGGAATAGATGAGCTAACTACTATAGCATTTGATATAATATTGCACACTCTGATATCCTAATGGCAGTATGTCCTTAGTCTACATGTTTTATAGCCTTGTGATTTATGTCTTGAGGTCAGATGGTGATGGAAGAGGGTTAATTTGTATCTGAGGTATTGTCTTAATTGGTACGTACATTCTAGATCCAAATCTGTATGAAAGACCCAATAATGACCAATTTTCACTTGTTCTACCAGATGTTGATTCGAAATGTCTTATGATGACATGCACCCTAGCCAGATTCACCAGCCTTTGGGAAGAAAACAAAAAGCCCACATCACCACAGATCACCCTCTGTACCTAGCAGTGGAGATGAGGCTCTTTTACATTTACTTCTACAAAATACATTTTTTTTTTTCATTTTCTGAGATCTAATGCAACGTTTTTAGTGTCTTTGGTCACTATAAGGTACTGGATATTTAGTAAAGTTTGATACAAGCAATGCATACTCCTATATGGTGACTCTGATCCCCACCATAGGAACATAAGTTATGTATGTTCCCCTTTAACCATGTCGTGACGCTCCACCACACTTTTCATTTATGTGCAATTAAATCTACTAAAAAGTGCTTCTATCTTCCTCAGGAGAGTGACGAGGGGACTGACCACAGCAGCAACTTCATTTGTCCTCTGTGCTCGCTGGATTTCAGCAGCCCTGAGAGACTCATTTCACATGTCTACCAGGTAAGAGCTGCTTTGCTTCACCAACTCTGAAAACTGAGTAAAATTTGGAAACCTGCAGCATCTCTGATGCTGTTTATATTCGTGTACACCAGTCCTGTAGCTGGACAATCTGAGATTTTGAAGAGTATTTGAACCAGAACGGCTATGATTGGGCAAAATCAAATAAGATGGACAGTTAACGTTCTTAAGGTGACGGAAGATGAACAATTTCCATTATTTTATCTGCTATTTTAACAAAATTCAAATCTCTCTTTTTTTAATAGTCATATTTCCAAACCAACTGGTTATGCCATACCTTAGTACAGACACTAAGGTAGCTCTTAAATAAAAATAAAAAAAACAACTCTCAAATGATGAAGAAAGTGAAAAAGCTGGTTACATTTTACAAAACCACCTGCTGCATGTGTGTGCCAGCTAATAGTGTTGAGTAAATACACAGTAGTTATACAGTATATTATTATTAGGATAAACACAACCCAATCAACCGGAGATAAAAAACTGGCACCTTTAGTTGAAGAAGATTGGTGTTATAATATGCTTATACAGATGGATTCATTTCACCATACTGGGCCGTATTTATTCCAATCATGACAATACTTTTCCTCCATCTGTTCCTTTTCTAAATTTATAATTTATAAAACGGGCAACATTTTCCTTTTAAAGTTTTATCCTGACGCGTTTATGTGTTTATCTTTCTTCCCTGTCTTTCCCAGCATACAAGCATGATGAGCAACAACAAGAGCTACGTGTGCCCAGTGTGTGGGCGAGCCCTGAGTTCTCCTGGCTCACTTGGACGGCATCTTCTCATCCACTCCGAGGACCGCCTCTCCAACTGCGCCGTCTGTGGTGCACACTTCACAGACACCAACAACTTTAACAGGTTCAGCTCTGCTGCTGCTATGATTGCGCTTCACTTTTCTATCAAGAGAAACTAAATGTCTGGTGCACTGGGCACAGTGGGGTCTACCGCTAAAATAGAATACCTCCTTTTTAATAACACATGTATACCACAGCACATATTCGCTGTGTTCTTTGCCTACTGATAGTCAAAAAGTTTTTTTCGACTCAAAAGGTTTAGGTAATGTGTTTCTTGTTGAGCACATTGGAATAAATAAAGAATAGGTTATCCAATGTAAGATGAACCAGACTGTACAACATGAGGGATGAATAAATTTAGCCCTGCATTGACAAACCTATTGGATACAAACTTCCATGTTGCTTAGCAACTACCATTAGCCTTTTTTTTTTTAAACAGCCCCGTCAAGGTCAGAATATGCAGAGGAGAAAGAAAGAGGACTGAATTATAAAATGCAATGAAAAAGAAAGATTATTCAATATATGAGCTGCGGAAAAATATTTACAGCTACCCGACTGTTCCGTAAAAGCTCTCTAACTCAGATATAACCGATTCCCTACAGAACATGCCATTGATGTTGTTTTTTTGCAGGTTTCGTTAATAATAATCTACCTTTAATAAAGACGATTACAGGCCTCTGTACCCAGTTTTGGCTCCTAAGCCTGTTTTTAATCTGTGTTTGTTTCCAAAAGTGTCTGAAAGTTGGACCTTTCATGTAGATTATTATTCCCTCTGGCTTAGAGTGGATCCTCATGCGGTCGGATTGCCACAGCAGTCTGTGGACAAAAGCTCTCTGTCCACCATCGTGCAATTAAAGGATGTAGCCTGGTATTTGACATATAGAATCCTTTTGAAGTCGTCTTTAATTAATTTTTCATCCTAATAATGATAATACACAAATTTAAACTGAGCTCATGTTGACTACTTTTCATACCTCTCTGTATTGTCCTGATGACGGTGCCTTTTAAAAATTAAAATTACATAATAAAAATCATCTTTTTTTTTTACTGTTCTTGCAACTTCTAAAAGCCAAATACTGTCTCTGAACTGAATAAAAATGTGTCTAGAATGAATTTTAAACAAGCTGCACCATACAGCCTGCTGCAGCTGTTTGTTTGCTCCATTCAGACTTCTAATCTGTGAATGATTAACTATCCTGGGATTTCTTTAATATCTTTACCTTTAAATAAGGCTGTAATAATACCGTTATTCTGAGTAAAAATCCTTTTTATTACTTTGTTCATGTCTCCATTGGAACTAGAGAGTATCAGAAATGTATTATTGAACCTTTAATCATTAGTTGCTAGGTAACTTTTTCTGATGCCAGCTGAAATTTTCCAAGGATTTGGAAATCTTTCTGTTGAATGAAGTTCTTAAGTAGAAATAAGCCCTCAATGACGATTGGATTTGTTTTATTATCTGTCTTAATGGATTAAAAACACCACTGGATGGTTCTTATCTTTTTTATCTATATTTTGGACACAATAATTTGGACATTGAAATGAAGAAAAGCTAATCTGCTATCCGTTGTGCTCTGAAATCTGATCGGTTATTGTAGTTTTTCGAAAACGTTCCATAAAATATAAATTTTACAAATAATCAGTGATGAAACCTTCATAAAACTGAAAAACGATGATCTATAATGATGTGGGAATAAGAATCCTGTTGGAGATTTAAAAGAGAGGTCTCATTTAGGCTAACCTTGTGTCTTATTACAGGGAAAAGCTAAAAGACGTCCTCGACTCGACCAGGATGGATGCCACAGGCGGAAGGGACTCCTGTTCCATGTCCCAGTCCCTCTCCAGCAGCCCCATGAGTAGCCCGGGTTCAAGCACGCACTCCTGCCACGGACCGGGCCCCAGCCCCAGTTCCTGTCAGGGCCCACATCTGTGTCAGGCTCCTGATGCCAACCCCAACCTGTGTCAGACGCATCGTTCCTGTCAGAGCTCCAGCCACATCCCAAACCAGTGTCAAGGCCCCAGAGCATGTCATGGGTCCAGCCCTGGATGTGGATCGTGCTCGGGCCCTGGGCCATGCACGGGGACCGACCAGGGACCCTCCTTTCCCTCACTGCCTGATGGGCTCCTGTCCGAAGGTCCATCGCTCGCCTCTATTCCTAACTCTTTAAACTCCTCCTCTTCAACCCTTCCTCCAATACCTGACATCCTCAGCCCGATGCCTGTGTACCCTGCAGGGGTACTGCTGGTGTGCAACAGCTGCGTGGCCTACCAACAGTTAGTGGAGGCGCAGTCCCCCATGAGAAAGTGGGCCCTCCGTCGCAAGAACGAGCCCTTGGAGGCTCGCGTTCAGCGCTTGGAGCGCGAGCGTACGGCCAAGAAGAACAAACGCGCATGCGAGACAGACGAAGAGAGGGAGCTGAGGAGACTGAGGGACCGTGAGGCCAAGCGCATGCAGAGGATGCAGGAAACAGAGGAGCAGAGGGCGCGCAGGCTGCAGAGAGACAGGGAGGCCATGCGGTTAAAGAGGGCCAACGAGACGCCGGAGAAGAGGCAGGCCCGGCTGATCCGCGAGAGGGAGGCAAAGCGGATCAAACGGCGGCTGGAGAAGATTGACCCCGCCCTCAGGACACAGATAGAGCATGACCCTGCTGCCATGGCCGCACTTACAGCAGACATGAACCTCTTTCAGTTCCCCTGTCCGATGCCCGTTCCTTCCATTGACAATGGTCTCTTCATGAAGCTGCCATGAGACCAAACATCCCCAACCCGTGCCCTCAGATCACCTGCTGCGGTTTGAACAGCTTCATACAGAAATCCCTAGTTTCTAATTTATTACAGTCTATAAAGCCTTGGGAACAGGGTTGAGAATGTTTTTTTTTTTTTTTAAGCATGTTGTGAAGAGATTTGTCTGTTGTTAAGTGGACTCTCAGATTTAACTATACATTCTGGTGGAAGACTTTGCAGTAAAGAATAAAGTAAAATATCCTTTGCACACGGATTCTCAGTACGGGGGACGGGGACTCTGTAGCGGGAGGTCCTCCCAGCCCAACCTGGACTCGGTAACTTGGACTTGCCGGTAGCTAAGTCTCTCTCTCTCTCTCTCTCTCTCTGTCTAAGCTGCTACCGTAGAACGTTCATGTCCAAACTACTACCTCACCCGGGGCCATGGAGGGGCCCTCTGCGCCGCAGCTCCTAGCTTCCAAAGCTACACTCACTATACAATACTACAAAAGATGCAGGTTGTTCAGCCTCACTCTGTTTTTATATTCCTTATTTTTGATGCTTTAATGGGACTCATGCGTTCATCTGCTAGATCAACTCTGAATGTTTCTCCATTCCATGAAAAGTGTTGAAAAGCATTCCTTTTTTCATTTATCCTTATTTCTTTACTTTTTTAAATCTGTGTAATTTATTATTTTTTTTCTGTTACAGAGCCTCTCCAGGCTCATAGCTGTGTGCTGCTGTTATTGTACTGTACATTACATTATTTACCTCTGATATATTCTGGGCTCATAACGTGGACTGAAACCCCATTATGTTACCTGTGGACCTCAGAATTTATTCATTACTTGAATCTTTTTCTGCAAAGAGTTTGTGTTTATGCTGATGAGTAAACGGCTACGTGTCGCTGTTGGTGTGAAGAGAATTGTGCTTCGTTTTAACCTGTTTTGTGCAATTTCTGTAGCATTCACGTTGTTTGTGAGTGTGCAGTACTTTTATTTTAGGTTATTATTACAACTTATTTTCTTTTTTATATCCACAAATCCCCTAAGAGGTGACAATTCTTTACAGGCGTATCTAAAAAAAATTATATTATTTAAAAAGTTATAATTAATAAATCTAATTCAAAGTCAATAGATTCATTACACACAGAGTGATTTATAGTAAACAGGCTCAGAGATTTCAGTTTCTTATAAAGAGTATTTTATAAACTAAATAACACTAAAACTGGCAGCCTACTGATTTGTGTGTCAAGTTGCTTATTTTGCATAATTACTGCATCACTGCAGCAGTGCCTCCTGCTGAGGTTTAAAGGAACCCCAGGTTACTTTATTAGACAAGTACAGATGCCCAGTACTGCTAGAGAAGGAAACGGTTTTTCTATAAATTTCACCTTCATCACCAAACCAACTTGATTTCTAAATGAAATGCAAAATTCCTTGTATCCTCAGAATTTACACAAATTTTCTCCACAGCCCAGATGAGATGCATTTAGTTCAGGAACAGCAGTTTTATCTAATGTCCTTACAGGTGTGTCCAAGGAGGCTCTTTAAGCACTGACCAGAGCCACAGTTTGTTTTTTATCGTTTTATTTTTTGGGTCTGCACCAAACTTGAAGAGGCTTAGCTTTGATGTTTGTTGCAGTTATTGTGAGGTCACTTTTGGATCAGTGTGCTTAAAAAACAAAGTCATAATAAATGGCTAGCTCCTTTTATCCAATACCAAAATAAACAGAAATCAACACCTAATATGTAATGTTAAAAAAAGAAAAATGTAAATCCCTTTATTGTCAGCGTGAGGTTAAGGGTCTTGCTCAGAGAGCCAGAGTGCAAGCTGTGGGGATTGAACCGGGTACTTGAAACCTTCTAAGAGCACAAGCACACTGCTCTAACCACTAGACAGACACTAAGATACATCAGTCTGTGTGTAATAAATCTATACTTTTAAAATTAAAATGTTGGCAATACATTTTTCAATGATATTCTCATTTATTAAGGTATACCTGTAAGATTCAACCTCTCTGTTATTAAGCACTGAGGCTTGTCTATTTGTTTTGATAGAAATCCTCCTCATTCCACAACATATTTATGCCACATTATACTTTTTTATTGTAAAAGTGTTTGCTGTATTTTGCTGTTCGAGTTTTATATTTTTTTCAGAAGCCAATTTTTCATTGTCCCTAAGTTGTTTGCTTGTGCCATGATGATACCTCCACTTCCCTTGATTTCTGTTCTCCAGATGCAAAATTTTACATCAACGGTTTCACTCTCCAAGAACAAGGGATATTTGCGTTTGAGTCACTCCTAGAAGGTTATTCTAAAAAAAAAAAAACATGAGCGGATTGAAACTTTTGCCCTCCTGCTCAGAGGTTTTCCTAGGAGTGCATCAAACTTCTATGCAACAGATTTATTATTTCTGAAGAGATTTTTAATTTTCAAAGAGACTATGCAGAACACAACTTCTAACATTTAAAAAAAATTAAACATCCAACGCTTCGTTTGTCAGCCTTTTTACCTTTGTGAGAAAGTCATCCTGGCTCCCTAAAGATTAATCAAATAATCAGTTGTGTTATATTTGTTAAGTGTTACAGATCACTTGTTTTTCTTGGTTTGATTTTTTAAAGTTGAGTAAATTTCAGCAACAGAATCCCACTGCCATCCCACACAGGATGTTTGCTGCCATCAGCAAAGGTGTCAGATCACCTGTGAATACTGCGTATTCTCAGAGGTCACCTTTTGAACCACCTTGTCATGCAATGATCAGAAAGTTGTTTGCAGCAGGAGTACCGTGGACCTCAGGGTATCAGTTTGTATTTCGGAGTGGCATCCTCATTTTGGGTTTGCTTAATATTGCATGTCCTTGAAACTACACTTTTACCAGAGTTGTTCACTATGAGCCTGTATTCTGTTTTTGCTTGCTTATTTTATTTTTCAAAATCCTTATTCAAAACATTTGAAAAGTTGTCATTTTTTATATGAATGCTATCAGGATTTTCTCTTAATGTCAACGTTTACAAAGTACCTTATCTCTGAAAAAGGCCAAATGAATAAGCTGAACTTCAAACCTGGTAGTCATATCCAAGCATTTAGACTGATTTGCCCTTTCAGTACACCATCCTCTGCTATTGACTCAAATGATGTATAGACTATAACGAAACTTGGTAAAGAATGTGAAAATAAAAATCAAGTTCATAACGAAACAAGCTTTTAGCTTCTTCTCTGCATTTGCTGTTTGAACTATCAGAATTTTGTAGGGCCAGAGAGCACTTTAATAGCGTGCATTCTCATTAATTTCACCTCTTTAAATTTGACTGTTTGTACTATAACTGTAGAAATTGATCAATTATATCTGTATATTATGCAAAATAAACAGTGATTTCTCGTATTATGACCCGTTTGATCCCTCAGATCTTAGGTAGTGATGTAGCAAAAGCATCACACTGGTATTTAATACCAACTGTGTTGTCCAAACTTTAACAGCGTTTTTAGCCTAAATTATCAAACCAATAAAATATTAATTGCAAAAGTACCACCCCACTAATTATCACAGAATTTTAATAAACCCATTTTTTTACTGTAGGTAGTTTTAAAAAATAAAACGGCACCATTGAGAAAACTCATGGATAGGTGTTAAACTGAGTGAACGTATAAAGGCACCAGACCAGAAGTGAGTCTGGTCTAGAGCAGAATAACTGCATTATGGCCTAAGTCATCATGGTAACTTATATAATACTGCTTTTGTGCGACCTAGTTGAGGCTTAATTAAGCAGGATATATGAAAAATCCCAGCTTAATCCCTTATCTCAACAATGGGCCTATAAAGTTTGATCAAAGTAAAACCAGTAGAACAGCACAGCCATTTATAGCATTAACATTAGGAACTCACTGTTTGAAGAGTGCTTTTTAACTCCCTTATAAAATCTTTAAATATAAAGGTGTCACCTTTATAATGTAGACCTTTTAGGGCTGCAATGAGAAGCAGCAAACAGGGGAAAGAACTATTACCATTAAACCTCAAAAATGTAAAAAAAAACTGTTAAAATTGAAGTCAAGTTCTCATTTTAACCCGATTTAAATGCCGTTGAAGCACCTGCACATGCCGGATGTTGAAGCTGAAGAAATGAGGTCAGATGTTCAGAGAACAGAAATCCTTCCACATGAGGGGAAAGGTGTGTGTTAATCACTTTTGACAATTAGAAATGTACAAATAATAAACATCAAAAAAAGAAACGGCACATCATTTAGGTTTAGCGATTATATTTATATTTGTATATATATTTATATATTATATTGTGTTTACTTAACAAACATGATAAATGCAATGTCTCCATGTTAGCTGTAACGATAAAAATACAATATCTTTGTGTCCTTAAAGTACGTAAAATAAAAACAGCAAAACAAGTAAAAAAAAAAAACTAAACAAAAAACACCCTAATAAGTTCACAGAGGTACAAATATACAGTACAAATCTATTTATAAAAAAAAAAGGGTACAAATAAAAATGCAACAAAATAGAGATATTAATGCTTTCTTAAAGTCAGGTAGGTGTGGTTTTTTTTTTTTTTTTGTTTTTTTATTCTAAGGGAGCACTTTGGGTCAACAACTCTAAGGCTTCTGAAAGAGATCAATACATGTTGGTACGGCCATACAATATTAAGACTCACTATACAAAGTTCATACAACCTGGATTATACTTGAGGATTGAAAGTTACATTTACATAATTGCATATATTTTGCAGATTTAGGCATTTTAAAAAGAAAAGGAAAAAAAAATTCAGTTCAGTTCAGTTTAACTTTCACACCACAAAACGTAATGTCACCTTATACAAAAAAAAAAAAAAAAAAAGTCAAATCTGAAAATACAGTCTTATTTAAAACTTTTAACCATTTGCATTCTCCTGCTTTAATTTGACATCAGCGACACCATAATCTTACTAAGTTCATGTTGGCGGTTTATTATAAGATGAACTGTCACCACTGATGAAAGCTGATTTGTGCAGCTTGGCGGTTTTTCACTCTGTTGTCCAGGAACTTTGGGACGCAGCATCAGACCTTACAAAACCCACTGATTCTAGTCATAAAAAAACCCTACAGATCTTGTGCAACAATAAAAAATAAAAATAAAAAAAACATCTGCTCTGTGCATCCCCCATGCATGTGTTGAGGGATAGGACTGCCCTCCACACCTGACACTCTTGAACTCATCATGTAGAAAGTGCTGAGAAAAAGCTTCTTTTCCTTTCTCTTCCACATACTAAAAATCCACAAATAAAACAAAAAAACAAAGATGTAAAAAATCTAAACTAAACGGGAGGCAACAGGTTGTATAAAAACCCTGCCAGGGGGAACCCACTGCTGCCTCATCCGCATGTGTAAATTTCTGCTCGTCAACCTGACCTTTCCAAAATGCTCTCGTACAACCTGAACAGAGTCTACCAGAAAAATCGACTCCATCCTTTCCTTTAGACACATTGTACAGAGCTGAGTTTAAGGCATTAACAAGCATCATCAAAGCTATCTACACAGAGAAAATACATCTATCTACAGGCACACAAAATCTGCAACGCCTCTGTGATTTTGTGTGCTAGACAATTGAAAAGTCTTCAATTTACCAACGTTTCATTTCAAAACACTGAAGGACATTTAGTGCAATAACTTACAACGGACCATCGGCAAAGTGGATAAAAATTCATTTTGTAAGACACAACAAGCTAAATTTATCTTTGAAACAGCCCATGCCACTAAAAGGAAATAATTTAAAATCGAAAAGCATTGTTGTAGAGAAGGATGAGGTTAAACTGATGATGCCAGATAGAAACCATTAAACATACTGTGACCTCAACATACCGGTAAGTAATATAAGTAATAAAGACAGAGTCTCTAGTGATTTGGCTTTAAATGTACGGCATTAAAGTAGGTAGAAGACAACGGTACAGTATATCAGACAGCTAGAGATTGCAAGACAGGGGAAAAAAAAGGAAAAAAAACACTGCTTCAAATTAATATAAAATGGGTCAAAAAAAAAAAAAAGTTCAATACCTGCATCAAAACTACCAGAGGTGCTGCTGTGTAAGATAAACCACACTGAAGACAATCCTGGACATCGTGCTCAGATTACTGCATAGAAAATGCCAAGACTACGTGGTAACTTGTACTAAATATTGCTTTCACTTTGACAAATGCCTGATAAGTGCCAGATGGGTAAAACTCAACTGTTTTTGCCTTCGTCCATTATAACATTACTGAAATGCCTTCAGCATTAGATGTATTGATTCGGGCTTCAGCAGTGAAACTTATAATCACACTTCACATCCTCCAAAATCAGGTATTTATGGTACAAAAAAATACTTATTGTGTTTTATTGAATTGCTCTTTTCAAACAACTGGAACCTCTTACTTAAAATTTTTCTGAAAAAAAAAGAAGCTATAAGGCCAAGAGGGAAAATCCATACAGAGAGGACTAGTAAAAGCAACAGCTTTGTGTAATCAGGAGAAAATTACCTAAATTTACGCCAAAGCCAGCAGCTTTCAGGCAAGACAAAATGTTTTCAAGTGAATAATCACAAATTTAAAAGTGAGAAAAAGGACTATAAATTATTGTGTCACTTATCTTTCCTGATAGGAATGTCTGCACAAGGAATGTTATCAGATTAGAGACCTCTGGATGAACTGATGTATGATCTAATTGCACTTTCAGTTTTTCAATATAGAAATATGTTAAACGGAAGAAACTGCAGCATTCGTCTTGGCTAATTTGTAAACAGTAAAAAAAAAAAATGTCAGTTTTTTGTTGTTGTTTTTTTCTCGCCACAAAACTGACAAAACTCACAACACTACTTCAAACATATTCCCTTCAATCAACAAGTTAAAGAAAAACACATTTTTGCTGTGGTTCCTACTTAAGAGGGTCTGAATTAACACAAAGGGTGAAATCTGAGCAACACAGACAAAATTGTGTTGCAACGAAAAAAGGAATCTTTGAAACAAGGAAACAACTGTATTTTAAAATATTGATTACTTTTAAACTACAACACCAAGAAACTACTGTACGACGAGTAACCCTAAGTGAAAGAGAGAAAAACAATGGCTGTGCCCGAACGTCCGCCCTAATCCCTTAATCACTCGATCACTATATAGAGCAGGGACTATAGAGTGGACTTTATAGTGAACTCAGTTAACTGACCTTTTGGACAGATGATCACTACTTTTCGCTACCAGTTGGCTCACATAACTCCGCCTCCACCACGCAGTGCCTGCGCCATCTTTGTTATTTGTTGTGAGAGCGGACCGCTGTGACAACAAATCCCCTGATGCTTTGAGAGGAGAGCTCTC